CTCGCAACTTTGGGTTACGGTTAGACCTCCCCCCCCCCCGGTACAAATCCTGTACACGCCCGCCTCTTTCGAACTTTTGTTTGATTTTGTCATCTTATCAGAAGAGAATAAAAACATTTGTTTTTCTTCACTCATAATCCTATAGCGTAACCTCCTCAGGTAAATGTAAACCTTTCCTACTGCTTCACACAAAGTTGGTCAATCAATTGGAATCATTTTCCGAAGGTATACAAAATAGATGAAATAGATTAACTGCAACTTGCTAAAATTTAATTCCTAAACACTATATCATATCATGTATAATCAGCCTGAGAACTAATTCCCACCCCACCCCCATCACCCCCACTACCACCATCACCCCCACCACCGCTGACACCCCACCCACTGCGTCACTCACGCGTGTACTTCACTCACGAGACCACAGATGTAAAACAGCAAGTCACAATTTCACGTGTTCACACCAAATTTACTAGAAGCCTTGAGAGATGCAAAAACCGACACCACCCTGACGACAACATCGCGCGCGAACCTAAACTGAAGAAGTGTGCATTTTCTGGATTGAACAAAGACTCGCGGTGCAAGGATTCAGTGTGCGTATACGCTGCTAGATCCTCCAGAGTGCAGGAGCACAACAACAAAGATGACATCAAACACACAAAGGGAATCACTGATCACCACAAGTCCACAACCAACTGTCGAGTACGCAGGTACAACCAAGGAGCTCACTCACGCCATTAAACCGCCGATCACTAGCAACTATGACCCACAGGCACTTGGAACGTCTCAATGAAAAAAATAATAATGGTAAATAAACACGAAATGTATATATTTACTACCAAATACTATACCATACTATACTACCCATACTACCAATATTTAATTATTGTTCTCTTATTCTTGTTGTTTGTGCACAGGGCGTGCGTGCGGTGTACTTGTGTGTTGCAGATGAGCATTTGAACGGCATTTACAGCAAGTTATTGACAATAATAGGCGAAATAGAGTAGAGAAACATTGAGACTGGTAGTAAATGCATTTCGTGTTTATTTACCATTATTTTATTTTATTTAGACGTTCCAAGCGCCTGCATGTGCTATCACTGCCCACGTGTTCACTCATATGGAGAGTGATTACCTATAACGACGTATCGTATATAAAAAAAGGAATATTGAACAATTGACTAGCAAGCAGTTTATCCCTTTTACCGTGAACGATCGAAGAGGCACCGACGCCATGCTGTCTCCGACGATATCCACGCTTCATTACTAGCGCCACCTAGCAGCCGTTAGTGTCACTGCGATCAAACTAGCAAACGTTGGATCCACCTATTGGTACCCCCAAAACCCTGTGAAACACTAAAATATATTAAAAAAAGCGTGTTGCGAGATGTGCGGCATTTGAATCTGGGAATACCCCCCACCTCCTCATGCTGAAACAATTTTTGATAGCGGATCATGATCCGTAAAGCGAGTTCCGACAACGGCACAGAGAAAGGTTGTGTCGTGCACGTGCAATGAACATCGCGCGAACGCAAGATGGCTCTGAGAACAATTGCTGGTAGTCAGTCCAGGTAATTCTTGGTTCATACAGGAAGACTCTCAAGGTAATTCACCCAGGTAATTCTCAAGGACATTTTATCGGAATTCATACAGAACAAAACATACCTGGATTAATTTAATAACCCCATTCTTAATCACTGTCATCTCTAAAACTTACCTGGATCACATTAATAAACCCTTCTAAACACTGTCACTTCTACAACATACCTTGATTTACTGACTGATTTTACTAACTTACTGTAATTTGTGATCATCATTTAACTGTCTATCGTGTCTCTATAGCTTTTTAAGCGCATTTAATGCAATTTTTATTGTGGTTTGCACATTATTGATGGTACAAAATTTCTTTTTATTACAGGCAAGGATTCTTTCTAAAAATTCAAGGACATTTTCATGAAATTCAAGGACTTTTCAAGCACAAAATCAACATTTACTAAATTCAAGGACATTTTCATGAAATTCAAGGACTTTTCAAGCACAAAATCAACATTTACTAAATTCAGGTACTTTGCAAGGACTCCCCTCAAATTCGAGGACTTTTCAAGGACTGTGCGAACCATGTAATTGTATATGCTAGGAATTTAGTTAGCACCAGTCAGACGGCCGACACACACACACACACACTTCAGAGCTTGCTGATGGTGGCAGCCATCTTGTTGACGATAGGCGGCGTCGGATTCTTTTCGCGTCACTGTTTCCCGTTCTCTGTCAGCGTGATGAAGTGAACCTGATCGACTGTAGATTAAAGAAAAATACAAGTCAATTACATACATCTATCCACACACGCACGCACGCACACACACACACAAGAATATATACGAGGCAGGAACCTAAACGTGATATATTTCAAATGATGACCGTTTGAGTTTTACCCGTGCCTAGTATTTGTGTAATGTATTAAGACATTCTAAAAATGTTAATTAAATTTAAAAAAATATAATTCAATCTAAAAATCGGTATGCCATCTGGCTTCGAAACATCTCGGTAAGTTCATTCACCATACGACGAACAGCAAAGAAATGGAACCAGTGGAAATTCGTACTTCACACCGGTTTTTTTCTTTCTAATATGCAATGTAATTACTATATTTACTGTCAAAATACCCGTGTTTGTAAAAAAAAGTCTGTAAACATTTATGTCTATACTAAGCATAGGCCTTTGGCCTGTGAATACAACAGCAAGACTTAAAGCAACAGGTGAGCTTAATTACTCTCTACTAATTAGTACTATATCATGCAATCGTCCGACTGCCTGCAAAAAATTATATACATAAAAGACAGACGAGCAGCTGCAACAGTAGATACTAGTCAAATCTACGCCAATGTTACAGACCCTCTCTCTGCACATTAACCTGCATGATACAACGGCTAAAAACTAATTCCCCTATTATTGCATGAGCTAGCCTTGCACTACGCACACAAACGAAGATCTTACGAGACGTGACATGCGTAACAGAGTTGGCCGAGTTGATAGGAAATGGTGACATCTCACATTCAGACGCAAGCAACGAATCTTGCTCATTTCTCACTCATGGTTCAAACCTCGTACAGATTGCACGAAATAATTGCCGATTGAAAGTTGTGGTTACGTATACGTCCTAGCTGCCAATGACATTGATTTGCCGTGAACGCCGGCTTAGAAATCTTAACAGTGAGAATCTACACAATAAATTTGACGGGCTAGCGGCACAGCGAGCTACAGGAAAACAGAACCCACGATAGGGCATTGCAGAAACGAATTGAACAAGAGCCGCAGAGCGTCTGGGCTCATCTGAGGTCTGTTGCTACGATTATAAACGTAAAATTTCAGTCGTGCGTAGTACCACATATGTTAGGCGCAGATATGCAGACACGCAGTTGCGTACACATCATTGTTAGGACACGCCCACTATCGCAGATGGAGGGTAGGGGGAGGTGGGGGAGGTGGGGAAGGG